ATTACTGTGTCTGTTTTAGCGATGCCTACAACACCCCATACTCCTGCCCCTTAAAATAGCCACGGGCCTTTGCTTGTTATGTGTCATCCTGTTTTTCTGTCTATGACAGACGCTGGAGGACAATCGTCTTTCTGTCATTTATAATGATATCAGCTGAATCTTTTTGAATGCAACATGCGTAAAATGGTTTCAAGACGTGCATGTGAATGCACAACAATAGTGTGTTTGTGTTTGAACTGGTAAATAATGATGTATTTCTGTCATTTTTCCATCCATTTTCCACTTTTGACAAATTTATCACTTACATCATCAGGTCAAAAATTGTCACCGATCGGAATAATTGCAATTAAAATGAAAGCTTCCCCCTGTCGTTCATTTCATAGGTAATTTTTCTCATACTCTGCCAAGTCTGTCTCAGACTGTTGTGTCATGATTTGATGCTGACAGGCAGTGTGCTCCCCTGGGTGCAAGCTAATTTAAAAAGCAGCCATAGAGTAGCAGATGCCAGATTAGTGTCGGAGAGAAGTGACTGATGAGGAGCCTCCTGGTCGCGAGCTCGGTCACATGCTGGCACTGTACATATGACGTGCTCCCCGCTCGTAGCCCCTCGGTGCTTCATAATAAATGAGCGAGTCGGTTCTATGTACTCAGCTTCTATTAACTCAGGGTTAACTGACACTGTGGAGACATTTACGCTGCCTCTTCTATTTTTGCAGAGAGGTGTACCCGGCTTTTTCTAGCATCCACACGCAGCTCCATACCTCTTTGACTCTGTGACACTAATTCAATTTGAGTGGCGAATAATTGTATTACTTCCATCAATATGGGTAGTTTGTTCTGCACCGCGGCCACAAATGTAATGTGACCATAGAGAATGAGGTTCCTGAATGGCACTAACGATTACATGCTATTGATTAACAATTATTTGTATAGCAGAGGACAGTCCTAAATTTCAGAAGAGATTATGGGAAAATGTGAGAGCACAGTTCAGTTATATCTGCCACGTCACTTATATGAACATCAGGGAAGAAAAGGCTGGAGGCTAAAATATGTGCCACTAATGGTGGATTTTACAACTTGTGAAGATCTTGGTGTAAACTGGATGCGAATGAAGACACCGATATTCTGTTTTTGTTGGAAAAGGATTTGAATGACTCAGAACAACAGACTGTGACAAGTTTTTAACTGTGTGTCTATTTATGGCCTCTCCCAAGGAGTTACACTCTCACTCTGTTCATGTCTTTTTCTGTCCTCTGTTCTCTGAAGAAAGACTAAAGGAGCTGGCTCTTATCCACATTTTTATTCAGTGTCATGACTCAAGGGCATTAAGGTGCCGCTTGCTTGCTGTAGTTTGATTGACTGAAGACCATAGGACAACCCACAGAGACAACTGGGACACGCCCAAATACCCAAGAGAACACAATGACAAAACAGTCGTCTCCTTCAAGATCAAGTAGCGTTTTTTTTTTTTTTTTTTCCTGTAGGAAAATGACACGTCTTAGTGACATGTCAGCTGCTAAATATTAACACTGCAGGTTGCCGTGTCTGCTGTGATCCTGTGTCAGAAAAAGGATGAACACGAAGGCATACATACTGCTCACTAGTTGTGTTGCTATGGGCTACCTGTCAACACTCAGAAATGTTCAAAATATTCAGAACACTCTTTGCGTATGGCGGTCTAATGAGGTGAATTCAGGTGGAAGTCATTATCCCTGTTAAGCATATGCAAAGGGGATAATTGTCAAAAATGTTCAGTTTTACTTTCACAACCTGCTTACTTCTGGAGAGGGCGGGCATGTTTGATTTAGTCGTCAATATTTTGCATGATCCTGCTTTCAAATACGACGTGTACGCGTTGAGCTACGCAGTATGATACAAACCAGCCCAGCTGTCTGCAAATGTAATAACTATGTCTGTTTTCTGGTGGGGGGCGGTGCCAGTCACTGTCATAAGTAATTTGAGCAGAGGAAATGAAATATCTTACAGTATATGTGCCATAAGGCAGTAGCCTTAGGGTTTAAGCAGTATTTTATACAGTTTTTGTATATGTTATTTTATACTTCCTCACTTTGCAGTTTTAAGCTGCTTTCAGGTCAGAGAAGGTCAAATATTTAGCAAGAGATACAGATGGTTTTCTCTGGAAAGCACCAGTGAAATACTGGACTTGAATGTTAAAGGTGGTGTCAGAGAGGGCTCCAAAGTTTAACCCATATTTCTCTAAGTCTACTGGGGGATTAGGCAGGTCAGTATATGCTAACAGAGCAGAGCAGCTGATACATAGCAGAAAAGCATCTCATTATAAATTTGTAAGTCTGCCTGCCCCCAAGTGGTCACAAAAACTCATAAATGCAGCTGTATTTGGATCCAAAGAAAGGATGGTAGAAGCTAAACTCTCCTCCATCGCACCTTTCACAAAAAGAATAGAAGACTTGTGACTTGTTATCCAAATAGGGGAAAGGCGGCTAAAAGGAGTCAGCTGTGTGCTTGTGAGATGACTGCCATCAGTGGCCAGATGGAAGCTAGCTTTGTCTGACACTTGTCTGACTTGGCCGAGAGCTTCACGCTGAAATATGCCTCCAAAAGCGAAATATTGAAAGCTTGACAAGTCATGCTTTGCTAAAGTCAATATTGTAAGAAATGTCTAGTTAGCCAGTAGAACAGTCCTCTCACATTCATATGCCTGATCAAAATGATAGAGGCGCAACATTAAATGAGCTGATTGGCTTTTGAAACATTTTCTTTTTTTTTCTTTTTTTTTTTTAAATCTACTGCGGCTAAGTGCAGACTGATGCTTAAAACGTTCTGCCCCATATTGACTTACATATGTTTACATCAGAGTGAGCCAGACTGCCAGTGTTTGAATGTAAATATGATTCTGTAGGGAGATGCACGCTCCTGGTCCTGGAACTGCTTCTGGGCTGAGCCCCAAGTGTTGTAAATTCCTAACAACGCCCCTGCTGTGCACACAATTCATTCTCCATTGGTTAGGGGAATTAACTGTGAAGTGCAGGCACGACAATGTGTGGCCACAAAGATGAGAATGACCCCAAAGTATCGGCTCTATTTGTTATGTGGCCACTGAGCTCATGGAGCGTGGATGGGTGGGTTTAGTGAAGAGGGTAGAGGTCTCTCATTTTCACTGATAGAGGGCTCAGACATTGAGGGAAAGACCAAAGCGTGGTGAAATCCAGTCAACTTCAATTACAGCCCCTTGTAGTTTTCCCAGAGGCGCACTATAGTGCCTTTAAGGGGGAATCAATGAGGTGACAAATTGTTGTGGACAGCAACCCCTTTTATTTGTTACGTTGTTGTATCCATGCCTGGATGCTACTCTAAGTGTGTGTGTGTGTGTGTGTGTGTGTGTGTGTGTGTGCGCGCATCTGGGTGTGTGTGTATATGTGTGTTAGGCGAGAATATATAAATGTGCAGCGCTACCCATTTATGATAATTGAACGCTCTGGTCCATTTGTGTTTTGGTGGTTTATTTTCTGCTAGTGGCTTTAATGGCTTGTTATCTGTCTAAACCTGTTTTTAAACGCTTTCTAATGAGTATTCACACGCATCACCCCCGACGCTCAGTGCCGCCTTTTTTATCTCACAACAACAGCGTTGAGGTTTTTCTCAAGGTTACTTGTGCTTTGTCAAGCCTCGGTCATATCTGCGGATGTCTGATGGCTGATGAGCATGGCCTTGCTCAAGAATATCGAGAAACCTATGTAGCTGAATTAAGTGAGTGTTTTTAATGGCGGTCGGAGTCCATATGAAGCTGTCACTGATATGCTCTCTGTACAGGTGTATTCTGGGAGATTGTTTGTCTGGAAACTGTGCATGTTCTGAATTTGAATTTTTCTACTGAGGGGATTTCATTCCGTCTGTTCTGGTGTTCCAAAGAATACCAGAGGCCGGTATAGATGAATCCATTAGTATACATTAATCCGGCAAGTAATGAATCTGATAGACAGCTGACTCCTGTGATCCATTTTATCTGTATAAAGGTAGACATCTCAATAAAGTGTTTGTGTAAGCCTGTGGTCCGTGTTAGTTAAGAGGCTTTGTATTGTTTGCTATTGCTCAGAGGTCAGTTTTATATGTGTACCAGCATGGCTTTATGCATCTGTCTCTGTAGTTGGCCGAGTGAGTGTGTGCAGACTTTAAATTACCTGCTGACAAAAAATGCGTGTCACATAATTGATTTAGATGCGCTGCAGGATATGTTTTTTTATGTAATATGGTGCTTTCATTGCATATTGTTTGTGTGCCTATTTTTAATGATTGTGTGTGAATGTGGTGTTGGATCAAACGAGCTGACGTGAAGTTACTATTCTAAAAATGTTCTCAAGAGACTTGTGTAACTCAGCCACGGAAAGTTGTGTTAGCAGACGGTCTAATAGGAGTGTACAAACACTATGTGATTTCTGTATGTGCCTGTCTATAATTACCATTTGGGGCAGCTGCTGTCTACAACTGCATGTTGATGTATCAGTGAGAGCTTGTAGTTTCCCAGCCTTGATCAGAGAGACACAAAAGCATGAGATAAGAGAAACAGTACGTGTCACAAATTACACAAAGGAAAAGCACAGCAGTAATTCATTTGTATGATAAATCGGTAAGAGTGCATAATCAGCATGTACAAGTTAGACCTCTACTTAGTATGACAAGTCCAGAAATAGCAGTTGTCTAGTAGAGTTTATGTAATTACCCTACAAATGTGCTAAAAGTCAGCATATAATAGGTAAGACCAAATGCAGTGGTATGCCCTACACACCTGTGTTCTCTGGCTAAGGTAGGTATTAGCTGATTGTTGAAAGCTAGTAAGCATATCTCTAAATGTACCATCCATCACGTTTCCTTGCCACCTCTCTCCAATTTCAGTGTGTTTATTATTAATCCAACATTTTTGAGACATTCTGTCTCATTTTTTCTGACGGCTTCCCAACAGGCACCCAAGAGGCCATGATATTAATGCAACACATTTCTCTTTCTTTGTCTCCGCAGGAAAAGAAGAGTATGTCGCAACCTTCAAAGGATCTGAGTTCTTCTGCTACGATTTGTCCTTGAACCCCATTCAAAGCAGCAGTGATGAAATCACATTGTCATTCAAAACCCTACAGAGGAATGGACTGATGCTGCACACGGGCAAATCGGCTGATTACGTCAACCTGGCACTGAAAAATGGGGCTGTCTCACTCGTCATTAATTTGGGGTCTGGAGCCTTTGAAGCTCTTGTGGAGCCAGTCAATGGGAAATTTAATGACAATGATTGGCATGATGTCAAAGTAACAAGGAATCTACGTCAGGTAACAGTACAGAGGATGATGCAGAGACTCAGTAAACGAATCAAAACAAATGCACTTAAATCATTACCATCATACAATATATTATTTTTTCCAGGCATTGTAATTGGATTGCTAAATTGAATCATGGTGGTTTATGGTGGAGATAAAACAGAACCACAAGTGAGCAGGGACATCTAGATGTGAATCAAGACCTCTATTAAGTTACAGTTGGAGGGAGAAAAGAGAGATGTTGCTTTTAAAACAGCATTCAAAGCATTCAGCTGCATTCAGACACTTGACAACAAAGGCAAATTGTGATTTTTGTTTCGAGTTAGTGTGTTATGCTTTTTCTTTTTTAAAGTGTATTCCTATGACGTACATACCCTTAAAAGAAGCTACAATTTTCTCAATACTTTTGAAATATTGAAATATGACTGAACTCAAATGTCAGTGCAGTGGGAATAGTATGTATCAACATTTTATTTATTTTAGAGAAGTGGTTTATTTTTCTGTCACAAAAACATTTGACTGCACGTCCACATTTAATTTAGGTTTGGCCATACTTATAAATGTTAGTATAAGCACTCATTTCTATTAAAGCTCCCCCTTCAAGCAGAGAGAGTAATCACATAAACACTATCGACACGTGCTTATGATGTTTAACTACTGGTGAACTCCCATCCATGTTTGGAAACAGCTATTAATGCCATTGCGATAAAAACATTTAGAGTAGCTGAAATTTCTAATGCGGTCACAGAATCTGATGGGTCACAGAATATTGTGTGACACCGGGCTGAGCCATGGACAGCTGCAGAATAGTAGTTAACCCAGTTTTAGTTTAAGAGAGAGACAGAGAGAAATGCATGTGTAAAAGTATGGTATTTAGGTAGAGTAAATGCAATTGTCTAAGAGCAGTAAGGTGACATCCATGTCAGACCTCAGTCCCTTCTCTCCTTTTAGTGCTCTCCAGTGAGGAAAAGCCACACCACTGTTAGTGTTTGTCCTCACCACCTACTTTGTTTTTTGAACTAAAATGTGAATGAAGAGTTTATTTTTGATCTGGAGTATCAGAAACTTTTCTTGGACACTTCCTAGGTTTTTTTCCGCCATAGGCGTAACCAACTCCATCTCCATTGCTATGGTTGCTCCCCTCTTCAGCTCTGGCAAACCAATCATTGCCGGTTGACGTAAAATGCACCGCTACCGGTGCACTAGTGCAGGATTGTCACCACAGATACCATTTAAAACTCTGGTATACTGTGAGAGACAGAGAGATTCACTGATAGATGTAATCAGCTTTGTATGAACTTGTTTGATAAGGCCTTAAATGTAATGGAGTTTCATGTACTGTATATGTAAAAGTCCTGCACTCCAGCTTTAAAGATGACATCACTATGCATTACACATTGCATTAACTGAAAAGAAACATTTTTACACATCATACTTTATAAGAAGTCCACTTTATAGTAAAAGTATAGAGATATACGCAGGGTTCTATAGTGTTACAAAGTTCTATGAGCAAAGGCAAATCCCTGCAACTGGATCTATAGTCACTAATGGGCTCTTCTTCATGGCCTTGAGGACTCACCTCTGCATGAATAACTCTGAAGAGACTATGTAGTTACAGTGTGACAGCACAAGTTTTCGTATGAATTAGAAGTCTTTAGAAATTACATTCAGCAGCTTGTGCCACTTACATTCCTTCACATCAGAGGATGGTCCATTCCAGCCAACCTACTGATTGTGTCTTCAACCTCTGGCAATGCTGCTCATCAGTGGGGGGCTGGCCAGAATTGGTTCTTGTCTGATTCTCACCAAGAGCAGAGGAATCAGGTGGGATGAAGGAAAGGTGTAAAGCAGAGTCTTTGGCCATGTGCAAATGCATCCACCTGCAAGAACAGATCGTCCTGGCTAGGAGTGAAGCTACAGAGAGTGTTTTTCGAGTATGAAACGTCAGCTACTACTGATTTGTACCAGGACACAACAGGACACAACATATATTAATTGTTGTCAGGATGCAGCTGCCACCCTGCAAGTGGCAGAACACCTGTGGACATTACAACAGTTTTGGACCCATGACTGATCTGAAGACACCAAAGGTTTGCTGCAGCTCACATCAACATGTTCTCAATGGCTTTGAAACACTGTCAATTGATGAAAGCCACCACATTCCTATTGGCTTTTGGCTAAAAGCTGCCACCACTATAGCAGGATCCTGATTACTGTTTCCATTTACAGTAGGTTGATGTGTTATGACTCAGTCTGTCCAGGGAGTCTATTATAGCAAGACATGGGGTTTCCTCCAGTGCCACAGGGCTTGAGTGGCCACAGGTGGAAGACTGAGTTGAAGATGTGGCATTTGAGATCAAATCCCAGGTGCACAAACCACTGCTATAGGTGTGTTGTGAAGAAAACCCAAAAGAGCCAACAAGCTAAACACTGCCATTGGGTCAGTCGCTAAAGAAGGGCTAGGCTGGTGACCTGTGGCCCTGTAAAATCTAGTGTAGCATTTCTAGAATATATTCAGAGACTCTCTCGGTTCTGTCTCTGGGTTCAGTGATGTTATCTCTGGATGTTATATACCGTGGGTGAAAGAAAATATTTCTATTTACTCAGAATTATTTGTGGGATACCACCAGCAAACAAAACTGGAGGAACTGTATCTTTCAAGACAAAGCAGCAGGAAAATATGATTGACTGCAATAAACCAGTGACCTGGCAGTACCAACTAAAACAGTGAAAATTTACACTGCATTAATTTATCTTGACCTCGAATCCAAGAGGGGTTTCATAGCCCTGGTCACCTTGGGGAAGAGGAAGCAGTAAAAAAAAAAAGTTGTTCGTCTTTCACTGACATCTGACACTGCTACTTTCAGTGGCAGCTCCCAGTCATTCTAGTGTCTCTTTCAGGCTGACTATGGCTTAGAGGAACCCATGTATGTGCAATCGGAGCAACCGTGGGTGTCTGCTTCATCCTTTCCAAAGGTGTCAGTTTACGCCCATCCAGACAACAACGCAACCTTGGAGCTTTCAAACTAAAACACGTCCAGCGGCGTTTCCGAAAGTCAGAGTAGAGTGGACGAGAGGCGAAGACGTAGCAAAAGAGATGCGTAGTTGTGTGGCTGTAGTCTCAGTGGCTTGTCTGGAATCATTTGTGCCAACATGTTGGTGATGCCACTATAGGAAGCGCTGTAGAATCAAGACAGTTGCGGGTCTTCTCAATGTTTTTGAGAATGTACTGAGAAGCAGTTGGTCCAGATCACTTGCCAAAGCCAGAAGTGCGGGAGGATTATTGTCTCACTGAATTGAAGAGGCCAGATGAAGACATCTTGGATCAGAGTATTGTCAGGGATAAAGATGGTGTAAAGGTGATTTTAAATGAATGGCCTTTTGGGAATGTGGCCTGCAAGAAATTATAGCTCATCAACTTTGCCCAGCATGTACATAGCCCCCTTTATACCCTCTATAGCTTGTGTTAAATGGAACGGCACAGATTTTTTTTTCAATTTACCCTACAGTCTCGAGCCTTTAATTCTGACCTACATAACATACTTGTTAAGATTCCTAAGGACAGTTTGACCAGGCTTTACGGACGCATCATTAAGACAGCATCTCTAGATTTGTTCCTGCTCATTTGGTGGGAAACGTTTGTCTTCACCTCACTACCAAAGCTGCTTCTTTTGCATAATCAGCGAATTGATTATTGGCAAACCTAAGGATCCGGCCAGCTTGAACATTCACTGCATTCAAATTGTGAAAGGAAACCAAGCATATTGAGTGCATGCTCTGTGGGGGAATCAAAATTGCCATCCTCCTCATCCTGTGTCAGGGTCTTTGCTTTGTCTCATTGCAGTAAAGTGATCCTAAAGTTCATCAATAAGACCAAACGGAGGTACAGTATTATATGAACGCCGGAAAGTCTGATACACTGGATTGGTCTCAAGCCTAAAACCAAGTACAAAAGAACGCAAATACTAATACCGATAAAAGAAATAAAGCTTTAAAATGGTCTTGAACGTGGGACTGTTAAAGAGGGTCAACTGATGTGCTTTAGGCATTCTTTCTTATGAACCATTTGATGTCTGTCAGTCATAACCTTTTGTCAGGACTTGGGTAAGGGAGTTTCTTCTGCCACTCAGCGGTCTGGTCACATTCAGAACATGGTGCAAAAACACCATGAGAAACTTGGGGAGTCACTGGTTGGGCTCTGGTACCTCTTGTGGAGCATTCTTGTTAATTCCTTGGTCTGCTTTTTTCTTGTTAAACTTATTTTGCCCTTTTTCTCTATGTTACTAACATGCTTTGGAAACAAACTAACATCATTCATGGAATGTGCCATTCTACTAACCAGTATGGTTTTTGCCGTTTAACAATGTACTAACAGTATTGACCATCATATATTATTTGAGTAACAATCGTTATTCTGTTCACAGTTTTTAATTTCCTTTCTCCCCCCTTTTCCACAAAGCACTCAGGCATTGGACACGCTATGGTAAACAAACTACATTGTTCGGTAGATATCATTCTAATTGTTTCTTAGTTTGGGTTTGCCGTGTGTTTCTTTTCTTTCTTTTTTTACTGTAGACGTCATTTACAAAAAAAGGGAAATTGCGGTTGGTACTCTTCTGCTTACTTTTCGAATCCTTTTTAATTTCTTGGTTCATTCATTGATTTCACCCTCTTTATTTCACTTGTTTCCTGTCCAATTCTGTTTGATCCACCTTTTTAGGAGCATCATTTCGAGCCTTTTGCATCAAGCTGTGGTTAATAATGAGGACCCTCTCCTGTCTGGCTGGCCTGATGCTCTTTGGCTCAGCCAGTTGTATCCCCATTCACTATGCATGGCATGCACTTTGACTACGTGTTGCAAATGTCACACTGCCCATTTGTCAACATGAATGTGACAGTTGAGCTGTGTTTTGTCATTGGTGCTTCTCTGGTGCTTTCTTATTTCTCTTTGTGGTTTTGGAGTGTCTGTGAGCATTTGCATGCACCTGACACTATGGCAAGTGTCATGTAACTGATTCTATATCCCAATCAAGAATTTGGAAAAAAATTTTCTTTTTGTATGCTTGTAAACAAAAAGAAAAGACAAATGCATGCATGCTATTTTTTTTTCTCTAACACCCTCAGTCATTGTCCTATACTAAAAGGTGACTGTGTTATTCATAGCATGTGCTCCCTCTCTAACCTAGTGGCACGTTCTGATTTCTTTTGTAGAACTGCTGGACGTACTAATATGGAATTAATAATTAAACTAACCTAGTTAACATTCTACTAACACCATTTTTGTGTCTGCTAAAGTACTTTTAAGTTGCAGTAGGGGCAATACTAACACTGTAGTATGGGCAGTTCACTAACTCTCTAACTAGAATAGCATTTCTTTGAAGGCTTGCAGTCTTCCAACTAATCAAACTGGACAAAATAACAATAAACAAACAAGAAAAAAGACAATGAAAACAGACATGAAAATGGGTTTCAGAAAAAAGAACATATAGGGAAGTCTGTCATAGACAACAAGAAGAAAAGGCAATAATATTGCAGTGTATAGGCTGTCTGAGTATAGTGTGTCCTTTCCCTGTGCTTTGTTGTCTAGGTAACAATATCCGTGGATGGGATTCTGACCACCACAGGATATACACAAGAAGACTACACCATGCTAGGCTCTGACGACTTTTTCTATGTTGGAGGGAGTCCTAGCACAGCTGACCTGCCTGGATCTCCAGTTAGCAACAACTTCATGGGCTGCCTCAAGGAGGTAAACACCTCTTCTGTGTGCACTCTGAGGCTGGTGGGTGTACAGGATATGACTGGCTTCACCTTAGGACTCCAAAACAGGCCCTTCCACCCACACACTGACCCTGTCTCATCCTTTTTACACGTTGCAGTTTGTTTTCACCTCTTTTTCCTCACACGCTCTCACACTCAAAACTTTATTTTGCCTCTACCACCCCCTCAGTGCACTCATAATGTTATGCACGCTTACACACACACACACACACACACACACACACACATATGCACGTCGAGGTGCATGCTGTACCACGCAACCTCTCATGTAGAGCTCCGTCTTGGAGCGGAATTTACCACAGAGCTTCTCGCAGCTCTGTCAGGTGCACTTCAAAGAGGAGCAGTGATCCTGGGATCAGTCAGTTGGATTTTCATGAACAGTCACCCAGGTGACACACTTAACACCTCACTATTCTATGTCTTAGACTGCTTACCTAATGTCTGACCTTATTACTATTATGTCTGATCATTGTCAGTAGAGGTATGCTACCCTCACCTCTTAAAAAAAGAAAAATAAATAAATGAAAAAACAGTGTGCAGCAAAGCGTACATCACTGTGTTGACATAGATGCTGTCAGGTGATGTATTGAATTCAGCACATTTTGTATCTTGGGTGCTTCATGGCGTAATGGGCCCTTTGAATCTGGCTCATGACTTACAGTATGTCATTTGTCACTCAGACCTTTAGGCGTGTGTGTATATAGTCTATACTTTATCCCTAGAGATGAGGCGGGGGAAGGAGAAGACGAGGTAATTTCTCCACCAGAGGGTCCATAAGTTATACCTTTCACTTTAAGCAGTACAGTCATATTTTTTTTATTTCTGTTGGTTAATAGGGAGTCTGACCTGCAGCATTTACCTTAAGAGTCTCCAGGGGATATACAAATATATCCACCAGGCAAATCTACAAAGTGCAAAAGGATCCATTCATTGATCTTTTAATTTCAAAAGCTCTCTCCCCCTTTTTTCCCTCGTCGCTCTCCCTCGTAGCTCCTCTTGCTCCTTTGGTGTCCTACATTTTGTCTCTTCACCTCAAGCTTTCATCCTAAGTGAACCTCTAGGAGAGGTCTGAGACAGCTCTGCTTAATGAGCGGGCAGGGTGTGGACCACATGTCCACACACCATGTACAGCTCATTAGAGGTCTGGTTGTTAAGGAGGACCGTCTTAGTTAACTGCGTGTCTCCGAGGTGCTGCAGATGTGGTGACAACAGGAATGGGAGCACCCTAATCACGGACATCCACCCCACTGAGCTGCTCTCGCCGCTCACGATCAGCCGAACGGCAGTGGCTGCTCTCACTATCCTGGGATCAATGTATTGAATCGCTCCAAAAGTTTGAAATATTGTGCAGAGCTGTGATAGTTCCTAGGAGACGGGAGATGCACAGAATTTTCCCTCTTTTATTTTCTCATGGGATTATGTAATATCCCTTATTAAGATTTACCAGACAAATGCAGATGTCAATACCAAATAAAAAATCAAGCCCATATACTGTTAAATCCATAGTTACGTTCATCTACTTGGCTTTTAGTTTATTTCTGACATTTTTTTTTTACCACATTAACAAGCTCTCTGCAGCACCTCATGCAGCCTGTTGAATTAAACACAAGCCCTCTCTCAGGTCAGCCTCTATGTATGTCGTGAAAACATATGAGCGGTGGTTTAACAGCATCTGCCGTGGGGCTCTGATTGATGGCCTGTTCCCAAGTGGCTTGTTGCAGTATTTGTGTGCAGATTCCAGTCTGAGTCGCCACGCCCGCCTGTTGGTGCTGACGGCAAAACAAACGGTGGTGCAGTAATAGCTCAGTTGTCACAGCCCTAGCTTGATGACAAATTAGTGCAGCACTACTAGTGCAACCAGTCGTAGCTCAGACCAAAGCGCCTTTGACTCTGAAAGGTGCCCTTTGTCTTGCCTATAAAGAATTGATTTGGGTTTATTGGCTGTATCTGTTGCACCTTCAGTCTACATGAGTAAAGCCCAGCAGGCAGAGATATCATCATTTAGTCCTATAGTCACTTTTACATTCCTTTTTTATTGCACTTCTATTTCTAAATAATCTGTAAAACATTCCATTTGCCTCTGTGTCACACTCGTACCGCACTGTACGTTTTTGTTTAAGGGAAGAAAATGATGTGAGAATAAAAGCTTGCCATTATCCGCTTCCTGTTTTCCTTGCAGTTAAATGCAGCCTGATAGAGTCGGTCACAAAGCAATACCTAATTCTGATGTGCCGCTGTGAGCTCCATCTACCTGAGCAGTTAGACACAGTAGATCTGAGTCGGTGATAAACATAATGCTCCATGCAAATGCAATCCCGTCGGATGTGTCCCCTTTTTTTCGGGTGAACGCTTAGCATGACAGCAAATAAAGAACATGACCAGTGTTTTCCACAGCTGTAACTCATTTGATGTGGCCCATTGAAAGCGATTTAGATTTACCCTCAGAAATCTATTGTTATGTAAATACATATGCGTGCTGTAACAATAATGGGGCTATCTGTCACTTGATTATCTTATCTACCAATTAGTAGTGCTGGAGCGCTGTGGAAGAGAACACTGACTGTGCCTGGGCCTCCGGGGGGTTGTTGTAAAATATTAGTTGCTCCTTTATCCCTCTGCCTGGCGCACTGTTGACAGCTTTGTGTTCAAACTCTGAGTTGTCCTTACAGTATTTGCTTTGCTACTTCATCTACAGATGATATTAGAGCACTTCTAGTGTGTGTGTGTGTGTGTTTGGGTGGTGAGGTAATTTTCTAAATATCATGACCACACCACTGATGTTTTAATTAAAAAGTGTTGACATTTACCAAAACGTTAATTAGTTTCTCATGTGGAAATTGGATGCAACTAGACGGCGAGATGCAAACCATTCCAGCTGCACTTACACCAGATACGCTTTCACTGTAGAGATTGGATAATGACGAGGTTATGGCTGTCTGTAATTTTTGTAAGATTGCTGCCAATTACAGTAGCAGTCCTGTTTGGTTTCTACAGCGTGTCATTCACCGCCTCCCTACACGCACTGTAGCTACTTCTATGACTTGATCAATATTATTCAGATATAATTCAGGAGCAGCTTTCTACAGTGTGTAGAAGAGAATTTAATATGCCTCTTTTACTGTCTGTGTATAAAACTCCTGTTTCAGACTTTAACACAAACGGAGTTAACAATAATGATACAAAATAGTGAATAAAAATTACCAGGGTGTCAAATTGGTCAGTTAATACTCGCACTGTACCATATTATAATGATCCTAATCCATTGTTAATTGGCAGTTTAATGACATTCTGACACAGTTTTGTAAAGGGCTGCCACTGTGTGTCACTTCTGCACCTGAGCTCTACAGCACTTGGCACCTCAAAGGTCAATGCACTAATGCACTTCATTTAGTGAAGCCTGTCTGGTCTACACTGTCTGAGAATATGAACTGGCACTGATATGAGGGTTTCTGCATAAAAACATGGTGACTTTACATTTCATCAATATAAAAAAAAAAAAAAGAAAAAGAAAAAAAGATGTATAGTATACTGAATGTTGCAGTGCCTATGTGAAGTCTCATGCACTCGTTTTCTAATTTGCTTTAGAGAGGCATATTCATCGTCTGCCCACTTTTATTCTAATCACAGGCTCCAACAGGGGCCTTAATCAACGTTTTACTCCACACCTGCAATCAAGGCGGCAGTTTAGATTTATCACTCGCCACCTCTCTTTTCACAAACCATCCCAAGAGAGGCCACCTGATGCAATCATTTTCCCCCCACCATAATCACTATTGCCGCTTAAATTCAGACTATCTTCTCCTCCTTTAGCTGACCATAGAGCTAAATGTCAATAATGTATGTCTAGACTATTCGCACTTCACCCAGCCTGAGGACAGTTTGCATGTGTTGTGAAGGCCTCACATAGGGAGACACTGGAAAGACAAAAGTACGCAATTGTGCTGGACTATTTTATTGACAATAACTGTGCAAGGTCTCAATCAATCAGATCTTCTTCAGGCAAAAAAAAAACATGTTACCAAATTTTGCATTGTGTAATTGGGTCTCTCAACAACAATGACAATCTGTAACAGGTGCCCCAGGCGGACAAATATGCATCTTCAGGCAAACCAGGAGCTCATCAACCACAGGTTTCAACATTTAGAAAGTGATATCATCGACCACCTCTCAAATGAATGGGGGGGGGATGATGCAGTGTGGCAGAGACTACCAAGAGTTGAGCTGTGAAAAACCCAGCTCATGAAACGCTCTCTTGAGGGGTTGAAAACGCCACATGTGTAAGTTTATCGGGGGTTGGGGGGTTGGGGGGTTGGGGGGGGGGCAAAGCATCCCGGCGTAATTCAGACCTGGAGCTTCACTGACCCAAGGCAATTGAGAAGTCAAGAGCATTGACCAATAGGGCTTTAACTGGTGGTTTAATTTATGGTTGTACGCTTGGCTGGGCTCAGACAACCTCTGACAGAGCACACTGCCAAGATGTGATTCAGTCTTGGACCACGGGGGACAGTTTTGTTGTGTCTGCACCGAAATGTGTTTTGATGATCCACTTTTCATCCCATTCCTGAGTGATGAAGTGCCAGAGTTTGGGAAAGTTTTTTTTTTTTTTTTCTCTCCCTGTGGTTTGTCACTGCATCTGAGGTTAACATGATACAGCAATCTCAATCTGAATATGAAATGTTTTTCATAGAACATTTACATTCTGCGCCCAGCAGTAAACGTCAGTCAGTCTTATGCTGCTGTGTGTATGGCTGTAGAATTGACTCTCGTTCTCAACTCCCGATTCAGGTTGTGTACAAAAACAATGACGTGAGACTCGAGCTGTCCAGGCTGGCCAGGCAGGGTGATCCCAAGATGAAGATCCATGGTACTGTGGCTTTCAAGTGTGAGAACGTGGCCACTCTGGACCCCATCACATTCGAGACGCCAGAGTCTTTTATCATGCTCAACAAGTGGAACGCCAAGAAGACGGGCTCCATCTCCTTTGACTTCCGCACCACAGAGCCCAACGGTCTTCTCCTCTTCAGCCATGGCAAGCCCAAGCAGCAGCCGAAGGATTCAAAGAGTCCCCAGACTCTCAAGGTGGACTTCTTTGCCATTGAGATGCTGGATGGCCATCTGTACCTGCTGCTGGACATGGGCTCAGGAACCACAAAGACCAAGGCGGTCAATAAGAAAGTCAATGACGGCGAGTGGTACCATGTGGACTTCCAGCGAGATGGCAGATCAGGTAACTTTCACTCACAATCTTTACACAAAGGACACGGAGCAGCGTGGGCTCTTGTTACATCTACGGTGGCCCTGAGAGTTCAGCACAGCGCAATTTAAGGAAACACATACAAACAGACAAAACACGAGCGAGCGAAGAAAACATTTTCACCAATTCGACAGCATATATGCATGTGGTTTCTTTAGATGTGCTCTCTTAGGCTCACAGGGCCACTGCATTCATAAATATTTGCCTGTTTGTTGTTAGGATGAAGACTAGTCTGTAGCCTGAATGATTATCATAGAATGCATACATACAATGCAACATTAAGCAGAGGCGAGGAGGAACTCTGCTGTGCACTATGGAGATAAATAATTTATCTGCAGCAAAAATACTACCGTAGGGTTACAGGTAACTTTTCTGTGAAGGAAATGGGCTGTAAATGCTTATAGCTAGCCAGGAGGCTTTGATGCTAGTAACTGAACTTCAGATAGGGGTACCTATGTGTCATGTGTCGGGATTCCAGACACATATTCTCCACAAAATAACTTTGCCCCGTCTCTCCCATTGTGTCCTCGGAGCCCCGGGTCGCTCTGCTCTGGTCCCCGTTGATTTGCTTATCTAAGCAGCAATTTGTTAGTGTGTGCTTAGAGCCAAGGCCCTGCAATGTCATGCTGCAAATTAGATATACCCCTTGACCATGTTTTCCACTCCATCTCAAGAAGTGGAAATTAGATTAACTGTTTCATTACCCCCCAAAGCAAGCACTGGGTTGTGGTTTAAATTGAGCTATGCACACTGGTAAAATAGCAATAGAGCCCATGGTTGAGTTGGCTGAATACAGTCCTATACAGTAATAAATAGCACTGAGTGGCTTTTGCTCGACAAAAGTGTGGTGGAATAGAAGCTGTGGGTGACTTCTCAAATAACATAAATGTACAACATTTAGTTATGCTAGACCAAACTGTAAGAAATGCTGTTTTGCTAAATATCACCGTGTTCATTATCTGTCTTGTAACCTCCCATCATCCACCCCCACACACTTACTGTACACACACTACACACATGTGTGCGCACACACACAAGCTATCGAATATCTTTTTGTGTTAGTCGAGCTCTCTCCACTCGCTCTTCTCGCTGTCTACCCTGCCTACGTTTCCATGGAAACAGGAGGTGGTCTCTCCCAGGACTGAGACAGTTACTGCACAGTGCTGTGCTGAGCTCTGCACTAATGACATTTCCGAATAACTTTTCCTCCTCTCCTCAAGTCTAAGGCATCAACACTTACGTACTGGAGTGTAAAGGGGACATACAAAGGTCCCTGCAATGTGATGACTGCAATATGATGTGAGAGGAGTAACACAATGGCAAGACACAGTGCTCTCTGTTTCACGTACACACATACACACACACACACACACTGCTTCAAATTACAGAGAAATTTTCAAATTTACCAGCACTATTTTATCTTTGCTCGCCCTTCCAATTTGAGCCAATTAAATCCTACAAGTATGCAGGCCTACTAAGTCTAACATCTTGCATCTGGAGATTTCCATGAACTGCACAAAGCACTATTGTTTGCAGTGTGTAATGATGTGTACACTGCACCTCAAATGGAAGCAATGGAGTTTTTGCAGTTCCTTTTGTAATGAATAGGCCTCATGTGATTTCCATCCCCACAGGATACATGTAATTTTAATGGTGCATTAAATAGCAGATTTGTGCAAACAGAGTGATATAAAAACTTTCAGGATCGCTAAATGCGGCTTTTTATATTTATTTTCTCCATAAATTATTGACAGATATTGATATTTGGATAAAAGCTGTGGCATGCTGTTAATAATTGAACATAATAAATACCCGTCAACTTATTATTCAGTAGAGTTCCTTCTATGACATAATGCTAGCCTGACTCATGTCGGGTATTATATACCCATATGAATTTTTTTCTTATACATTTTAATATTTTCTAGACTTGAGGTCATTTTAAAACATGAGAAAAGAATTCAGCAGTCCCCCGAGAGCATGAGTCATGAAACATATGGTAAACTCTGTTCTTCATCTGTGTGTCAGATGTTTTATTAATGCACACCACCAATCGCATCACTCAAAACAAAAGTGCAACACAACAGACTAATTTAACTGCAGCCGGGTCCTCCATGTGCGGCACTTCCTGCAGCCGTGACGATGGCGGATAACGATCCCTGCCCTATTTAGTTTAGCCGGCTCTTCCCGCAGGAAGCGAGCCTGTAAATGGACTCTCGCTCTCAGACAGCATCTTCTAACCTCAAAGCATTAGAGTCGCTATGAGACACTCTGCTTTTAAGTGAGGGCCTCTGTGCTGGGAGTGCCGTGGGTCACTCATCAGAGACATTACATGGACATTGCTCTGTTGTAGCCCCCACTTCCTGCCTGGGCAAACACGCGCTACTACTTCAACACACACGAGCGCGGACACACGTGTACGGTACACAACCAGAGCCATGCACGTACACACACGTATAGACAACACATCCCCCATCCTCGCAGCCCACTCTCAAGCTTCTCTCTCTACAGAGAATCCAATCACATAGAGAGATTTGGCCGTATCGCCCTAACTGGATTGTAGTAATCCCCTGTCTAACATGTTTTGGGGATGTGTGAGTAGGGTTAGGGGACATCATGCCAAGTTGAGCCTGGCTGCTGATGCAGAAAGTGTGAGAGAGATCTGAGCTGTCACTTGGACCCCTGCCTTCAGGTTTGATGATGGAGTACCACTTACAGGTCAGCCCGTGCAGAGAGAGTGAGAGTGAGAGAGAAACGCGGTCAAAGTGTTTTAAAGTTTGCTGGAATGCTGCTCCTCCTCCTCCTCATCATCATTATTCATCCTCATTTATTGCCTGCATCATCGCTTTGATCACCTCTCCTCTACTGTACATCCTGTACTTGATTCTCAAGATATTATTTGCTGCCGTGTTCCCTCATCTGCTTTCTTATCTGTCATCGTATACCACTCCCTCATCCTCTTTCCAGACATCTTTATCTCCATGTTCCCATCTTGTTCTGCATCCATCTCCTCCTCTTTTATGCTCGGTAGCATTCGCAGAGACACATCCCCTTCCCCTTTTGGCTATGACTAATGTTCCAAACATAGGCAGTCCTGCAGTGTGTGTATGTGTATTATGTTTCCCATGCTGCGAGCTTGGTGATGGCACATGTCCCCATGGGATTGTATAGTGCCTTTTGACTTAACATAGCTTGACTGTGTTTACACACTTCCTTACGGGACTTTGACAAGTGAGCAGAGCACTCCAAGCAGATGCCTGAGAGATGCTGACATCCTTCTCTTGTCTTGCACTTACATCAATTTAGACAGACATGCTTACTGTATGCTTCCTTGTTTGCTGTTTATGACTGACTTAAGTATAGATAGCGTGAGAAGAAGCCATTAGATAATAACTCCTGAAGTATTTACTTTGTGAATGTATAATTCAAAAAAGCAATTGACTTCACACTATAGCTTCTACCTGTCATATGCCCGAGACCTGACAGTCAATGTTTTTGCATTTACACATAACCCGGAGTGTAGATATTTCCACCATGGTTCGTGCTGACCATCATTCTTCAGCCCGAGCACCTGCTCTACTCCGAGAAAAGTTTCCTCGCTAATGAGTTTGATGTAGCGAGCTCGTTAGCTCTAACCTGAAGGGAGCTGTTCTGGCTGCGTGACGGGTGGCCCTTGCCAAGTGTGCAAAGCTTGGAAGTCACAACAGCTGTGGCTGGAGAGAGCAGGGGCAGTGGGTGGCGGCAGGAAAGTGCTGGAACAGATGCCTGGGGCCAAGACCCGGAGAAAAGAGCTGGAACATGTTAGTGGGACCAGGTTAATCATTGTGCACTCGGTCCTTAGCTGTCTCTCTCAGGCGCTTTTGCGAGAAGGCTGGCTCACCTTGGCAATAAGACGCATACATGGCCAAGATTATTTTTAGCTTATAGACTTATTTCGGTGTCTTTTTTCTTTTGTGGCAGCCTCTCTTTTTAGATTTAACAGATAAAAGTAAGAAAAGTAAGGCAAAACACAAAGAAACTGTGCTTTGATTGGAAAAAAAATATACAGATATTTATCATAAATATAATTAATTGTGATATGTACATTCATGCATGCTAATGGTACCTGTAATGAAATGTGAAAGGCCCCATTTAATGTCTAATGCGTCTCCGGCAGCCCTGCTGAAAATTCATGTGTGGCTCAGGGCTTGTTTCCCCAACATAAACACTTTGACTAGAAAAGTAACTTAAAAGCTGCGCTCCTCTTCCACATACAAGCCAGTCAGGAGGCTGCCATTTAGCCCAAGGCAATCAGCTAATAGCTCCTTCATATCTACCATGGCATGCATCTGCCACTCAAAATGCAAATTATGATTTTATGGCAATTTTATTTTTTTTAGCGCCCTTAGCCTGCCATTTCTCCGCCGCTCTCCCCAGGCGGTGGCCTGCGCGGCTCCTTGGCGAGCACAGTGTATAGATTACTGGACCAGGATGCGGGCAGTGGACGCAGCCGCCATTAATTAAAGATCCACAATGGCTCCTGCACTGAGAGTAACAGATCCATATACAAATTAATCACCCAGACTGAATCCCACAGTAAGGCTTTCCTTTTCCACAGCTTTACAGTCCAGTCATGTCCGCTGTTGTTTACCGTGCTCCAGATCGAGAATTAAACCTGAATGAGAGCGATAAATCATGGTGGGGAAACACACAAACTCTCATTGCAGGTTTATGTGTTGGAGAGGCAAACAGAAGGAGAGACAGGGTGAAAAAAAACAGCCTGCAGTCCGTTAATCAAGTTCAAAAAGATGGCTGCGATGTTTTTTTTGTTTTGGTTTTGTTGTTGTTGTTGTTTTTTTTGTTTGGTGGCTGAAATGATAGAGGGGGCAATGATTTTTCTTTCCCCATCTTTTCTTTTTTATGACCATGCACTGCTTTATAGATAAAGGAGATTTATGTTGGGAAATCCAAGGAAAATGGAGAGGATACTCTTAGGATCCCAGATTAGGCTGCTAATAGACTAGCTGTCCTGTGATTAATGTGTCTTATCAACACTCATCAGTCATTCTAAATGAAGAAAATCCTGACCCTGTCCAGATGGATAAAAGTAATTAGGCTAATTTCTTCATCAAACCATCTTTAAACGGGTCTTCTCTGCATGTTTGCGTTTCTGCAGGGAAGATAGTGTCTTTTGGCATCTACAGTCATCAATAGGTTTCCTCTTAGTTCAAAAAAGAAAAGATAAACTATTCCCACTGTGTCTTATTTTTTTAGGTACCATCTCTATCAACACCCTCCGTACTGCCTACACAGCCCCTGGAGAAAGTGAGATCCTAGATTTGGATGACAATCTCTACCTCGGGGGTCTGCCAGAGAACAAAATGGGACTGGTGTTCCCCACTGAGGTGTGGACAGCACTGCTCAACTACGGCTACGTGGGCTGCATCCGGGATCTGTTCATTGACGGACAGAGTAAGGATGTCCGGCGCCTGGCCGAGATCCAGAAGGCTGCCGGGGTGAAGCCCTCGTGCTCCAAGGAGCCTCCAAAACAGTGTCTGAGCAACCCCTGCCAGAACAATGGGATCTGTAGAGAGGGCTGGAACCGCTATGTGTGCGACTGCTCTGGGACTGGATACCTGGGGCGCTCCTGCGAAAGAGGTAGGACTTTGTTTTTGTCTCATTTTGTCCAGCCAGCTGTTTCGAAGCGCACCATTTCTGTCTGGTAGGCATAATCTGTGTGTGTGTGTGTGTGTGTGTGTGCAACCCCTGCCAGAACAATGGGATCTGTAGAGAGGGCTGGAACCGCTATGTGTGCGACTGCTCTGGGACTGGATACCTGGGGCGCTCCTGCGAAAGAGGTAGGACTTTGTTTTTGTCTCATTTTGTCCAGCCAGCTGTTTCGAAGCGCACCATTTCTGTCTGGTAGGCATAATCTGTGTGTGTGTGTGTGTGTGTGTGTGTGTGTGTGTGTGTGTGTGTGTGTGTATTTTCTGCACACAACACACACACAAACACACACACACACACAGGGGACCACACACACACACACAACACACACACACAAACACACACACACACAGGACACACACCCACACAGACACCACACACACACACACACACAACCACACACACACACACACAGCACACACACACACACAACACACCACACACACCCACACACACACACCACACACACACACACACACACAGATTATGCCTACCAGACAGAAATGCGTGCCGCTTCGAAACAAGCTGGCTGGACAAAATGAGACAAAAAACAAAAGTCCTACCTCTTTTCCAGGAGCGCCCCAGGTATCCAGTCCCAGAGCAAGTCGCACACATAGCGGTTCCAGCCCTCTTCAGATCCCATTGTTCTTTGCAGGGTTGCTCAGACACTGTTTTGGAGGCTCCTGTGGAGCACGAGGGGCTTCAACCCCGGCACCTTCTGGATCTCCGGCCAGGCGCCGGACATCTTACTCTGTCCGTCAATGAACAGATTTTCCCGGATGCAAGCCCACGTTAGCCGTAGTTGAGCAGTGTGTCCAACACCTCAGTTGGGAACACACCAGTCCCCATTTTGTTCTCTGCAGACCCCCGGAGGTACGAGATTTGTCATCCAAATCTAGGATCTCACTTTCCTCCAGGGGCTGTGTAGCAGTACGGAGGGTGTTGATAGAGATGGTAACCTAAAAAATAAGACACAGTTGGAATAGTTTATCTTTCTTTTTGAACTAAGAGAGAACCCTATTGTGACTGTAGATGCCAAAAGACACTATCTTCCTGCAGAAACGCAAAACATGCAGAGAAGACCCGTTTTAAAAGATGGTTTTGATGAAGAAATTAGCCTAATTACTTTTATCCATCTTGGACAGGGTCAGGATTTTCTTCAATTTAGAATGAACTGATGAGTGTGATAGACCACATTAATCACGGACATGCTAGTCTGCATTAGCAGCTGAATCTGGGATCCTAAGAGTATCCTCTCCATTTGTCGCTTGGACTTTCCCAACATAAATCTCCTTTATCTATAAAGCAGTGTGCATGGTCATGAAAAAAAGAAAAAGATGGGGAAATGAAAAATCATTGCCCCCTCTATCATTTCAGCCTACTCAAACAAAAAAACAACAACAACAACAACAAAACCAAAACAAAAAAAAACATCGCAGCCATCTTTTTGAACTTAGATTTTAAGCGGACTGCAGGCTGTTTTTTTTTCACCCCTGTCTCTCCTTCTGTTTGCCTCTCCAACACATAAACCTGCATTGAGAGGTTTGTCAGTGTTTCCCCACCATGATTTATCGCTCTCATTCAGGTTTTGCAATTCTCGATCTGTAGACGGTAAACAACAGCGGACTGGACTGGACTGTAAAAGCTGTGAAAAGGGAAAAGCCTTACTGTGCGGATTTCAGTCTGTGTGATTAATTTTATATGATCTTTTAGCTTCTCAGTGCAGGAGCCAGTGTGGATCGTTTAATTAATGGGCTGTGCTAGCGTCCTTTATCTTTTTCGCAACTCGGTCGCTAATCCTGGCTCAACCGTAATCTATAATTGTTCCGTCCAAGGAGCCCGCGCAGGCCCACCGCCTGGGGAGAGCGCGCCGAGGAAGCAGAATGTAGGCAGGCGTAAGGGGCGCTAAAAAAAAATAAAATTTGGCCTACTATAAAATCATTTTAATTTGCATTCCTTGAGCTGGCCAGATGCATGCCATGGTAGATATTGAAGGAGCTATTAGCTGGATGCCTTGGCTCTAAATGGCAGCCTCATCCTTACATCTCTCTCT